GGAAGGAGGCTGGGTTTGGGGACCAGAAACACAGAGCGGGAAGGAGGCCAGAGCCATCGGGCTGGCCAGCTCTGCACTGTTGGATGGAAACATTTCATGATCATCGAGGTCTGGGAGGAGGCAAGGCGTCTGTGACCTTGATTCTGCATGTGGTGTTCAATGTTACAGTGGGGAGTAGATGGAGGACTCCAGGACCTGCCTGCCGTCTGCATTCATCAGCCCACTAGACCCCCTGGTGGAGGAATGGAACCATTTGCTCTGCAGCAGGGTAAACTGAGGCACAGAGAAGCGAAAGCAGGTTTTGTAACTAAGATGCGTGTTTGAAGATGTACATTCACAGCCTGCCCTTGGCTTCCCTGTCCACCAAAGCCAAGGTGTCTCTGTATGCCAGAGTCTCCAGCATGGCTGAAATGTCAATGTTCACCCATGTCAGTATGGAAACATCCAGCTTATCAAGAGTGGATAAAATAACATTCAAGTCTCACACTAGAACAGAACCTACAGTCTCCTCGAAGGACCTTCCTGTATGTTGAGAGAGGCATTTCCTCTCCCAGGAAGTCAGTGAGGTGGGCAAGGCAGTCACCTTCATACCCCTTTTACAGATAGGGAAACTGAGGCTTGGAGAATTGGAATCACTCACCCCAGACCACCCAGACCCCAAGTAACAACACTGGGATGTGAGCTCAGGGCTTCAGATTCTGGGCCTGTAGCTCTTATCAGGAGGAAGCGCTGCCTCTCTCTGGAACCTTCCACTGGCTCCTGCTCAGAAGCACAGACCCCTGCCTTGGCAAGTGAGGCCCGCATCTGGGAATCTCTGCTTCCAGCTCCATCTCCTCATTCCCAGGACCCCCGCCCTGCTCTCCTGCTGGCTCGTCTCCCCTCAGCAATGCCTCTCCCATTAACGTGCACAGACCCCGTGGGACCCACAGACCTTCAACCCCTTCCTGAATGACAGGCTTCATCCACCACCGTGGACCAACCCACCCCAGCACTCCAGAGACTTCATGTTAGGGCAGATTCTGGCTCAGCAGGTGTGGGGCGGGGTCCGGGGTTCAAGGTGAGGCTGGCTGTGCTGCACCAGGTACCCGCTCTGAGTGGGAGCTGCAGAATTCCCCTAGCACCCTGCCACCTGGGCAGTGGCTCTCTCCATCTCTCTCTCCTGCCCGTCAGCTCTCCCCTGAGTCTCAGGTGGCTAGTTTTTGTCTCCAAGGCACAAAGGAAGGGGAGCACAGGTGGCCCATGGGAGACGTGCCTTGCAGAGCACTATGGGCACCTCCCAATGCCAGTCATGCCCTCCACATCTTAAAGGGGCCCTGCAAGCAGCAGTTGCCCCTCGAGGGGCTGAGACGCCTTTGCCGGCTGCCCTTCCCGCCTCCTTCCTGGCCTGCAGCCTTGCCCAGCTGACCTCTAGAGCAGGCCCTGGGAATTGGGGTGGGGGCCACCTCTCTTCCCCCACAACCCTCATTGCAATTTCGTCCTTGCCCAAGAATCCTCGGTTGAGAGCTCATCCCTATTAATTCTCATGGTGCATTTAGAGCCAATAGGTTTTTATTTATTCATTTATCTTGTCTTTCAGCCTCCTCCCCTTCCTTGCAAGGCTGGAATTTACAATTCAGTTCTCAGGTGGCCTTGCCGAAGGACAGGAAGCCTGGGGGAGAGAGAGGGGGTCTGCACCCTGCATCTGAGAAGGCCGTCTGCCCCCGGGCCCCTCTTGTGCCCTCGGAGTGCAGCAGGGCTTGTGCTCCCACAGGCTGGATGTTGGGACACACCTAGCACCTGCCACAGAAGGGGCCATGGGGAGCAAGGACTCATGGGTGATGGCAAAGCTAAGGAGGCAGTGGGCATCTGTCCACCATGAGGGCGCCCCCTGGTGGCTGGTTAACAAAAGCTGCTGGGGCTGCAGGCGCTGCAGAGACTAGAAATACAAGGCGTGGCGTCTTTAAGACTGGGGAGAGGCAAAGGACTCGGGGCAAGAAGAGAAGCCAGGAAAGTCACCGAGGCCATAATCACTACAGTAACAAGCCAGTGACCAGTACTGTGCATTGAGTACCTCCTGTGTGCCAGCATGTAGCAGGGCAGCATGGCCAGGCTGCACCATCCCACCAGCACTGGGACGCTCCTATGTTATGGTTTCTACTGGGCAGAGGAAGACAGTGAAGCTCAGAGAGGTCAGAAGTTGAGAGAGGGGAGGCTGTGCCACCTGGTGGGTGGGCATGGGCCTTGGCCACGGGCAGTTCCCAGCCTGCCTCCTCAACTGAGTGACCTTGGCGGGATTTAGGCAACACTTTGTAATTCCTAAAATGAGATTAGAATAGGACCCACCTCAGAGGATCCTAGAAATGATTAAATGAGACCTGCCTGGATCCTCCTAGGGGAAGCCACAATAAACTGTGGCATCAGGGTTTGAACCCAGATCTGTCTGGAAGAAACCACCCCCTCCAAAAACCACCCCTCCAAAAGCCAGCCCTCCAAAACCCAGCACTCCAAAACCCAGCCTTCCAAAACCCAGCCTTCCAAAGCCACCCCTCCAAAAACCACACTCCAAAGCCAGCCCTCCAAAAGCCAGCCCTCTGAAGCCACCCCTCCAAAAACCAGCCTTCCAAAGCCAGCCCTCCAAAAACCACCCTCTAAAGCCAGCCCTCCAAAAGCCAGCCCTCCAAAAACCAGCCCTCCAAAAGCCAGCCCTCCAAAAACCAGCCTTCCAAAGACACCCCCTCCAAAAACCAGCTTTCCAAAGCCACCCCTCCAAAGGCTGCCGTCCACCTGCTGGGAAGCCTCCCCATCCTCGTCGGCCGCACATTTGTAATCAAAGCAGAGCTGGATGGAGCCCGTGATGAAATATTTAAGTCCATCAAACAGGTGGCGAGACACCGAGAACGCGCCCATGTGGGAGACTGCGGAGATGCTGTTCTTTCTGCCCTGCCTTCCACACCTGTCTGTCCAGGAGAGGGGCAGGGGAGGGAGTGGGAGAGAGCACTCTTCCAGACCCCAGGGCTTGAGGACTGCTGCCTAGGATGAGGCTCTGCTGGCATTGGCATCAGGACTGGGAGGGGTGACCACCTCCCCAGGGCAGCTGCCTACTGCACTGGGTTCTCTGTCTAAGGGTGGGAGTGGGGCAGAGGTCCAGGGCCAAGGACATCCTAGCCAGCATTGGCCAGGAGAGGGTCTCAGACTTGCCTCTGAGGGTCATTTCCCCACCTCAAGTCCTCAACCTGAAGCTGGTCCTAGAATTATGATTTAACTGCTCCCTCAAGTACATTAAGGCAGTGATTAATATTTAAGAGAAAAAATACAGTCGAGACTCTAATACGAGAGGCAGAGGTTGACTGTGCCGGGAGAATGTGGAGAACCCTCCCACCGGCTGAGAGGCGAACTCAGCACTGGCCCCGGCCTGGCCTTCTTCCTGGCTTCCAGAGCCCAGCCCCCTCGCTCGGTCCTGCGGTCCCCGGGGCAGTGATGGCCAGAGACTATCCAGTCCCAGCTCCTGGCTTCCTGCCACCTTCTCCTTCCCTCCCTCCCTCTCCTTCTCCCCAGCTGGCCCTGGCCCAGCCGCCACCCACAGCGACAGTCTCATCACCACTGACGAGCCCCGAGTAAGAAGCTACTTTCTCGGTGATGTGACCAAAGCCAGCCCATGGGATTCAGTCCTCAGGAGTCTGAGGTGGGGGTACTGGGTCAGCCCCACCATAAACCCAGAGACTTAGAGGCTCCCTGAGGACATGCAGAGGCACCAGCTGCCCCGGGGATGCCATCGAGCCCCTCCTGTGAGCTCCCGTAGCCTGACTGCCTTACCCTGCTCCGCCCTGCCCTTCCAGGGACGGCCTCCAGAGCATGTCCCAGCAGGAAGCAGCTTAGCTCAGAGACACTGGGGCCACGCTAAGCTGGAATCACAGCTTCGCCACTTCCTGGAGTGTGACCTTGGCCAGATGCCTTCACCTGTCCCCCGTCACCCCTGGGCTGCCTCAGTGACCCCACCTGCGTGACTGGAATGACAACCACTAACACCTGGTGCACCTGCTCTATGTCAGGTCCTATTCTGAACACTTTACCTACATTAATTCAACCACGAACTCCTCACAATGACCCTAGGAGCGTGTGCTCTTCATGTGCCCCTTTTGCAGATGACAGAACAGAAACCCACAGACGTCCCTGGGCCAGAGCCCACCCCTGACGCTCCTGCTTTATACAACGGAATCCACCTGGCTAGCTGAGGGGAGGACTCCTCGAAATGACATCAGGCTCAGCCCACACACTCAGGCAGCTCGCACGCAGCATCTCTGCTGTTGCTGCTGTTAACATGACTTGAGTACTGAAGTACTCCGTGTCTCTGGGACTCCTCCTTCTCTAACTAGGGACTCAAGGGACAACCCTGAACGTCTGCCTTTCCCTGACTTACGTAGGGGCTATCCTCATCGCATGTAGGAATGGAACTGGAAGGGGACCCAGCTGCACCATCTATCCTGGCTTGACCCCCAACTTCCTCCTTCATGAATTCCCTCTGAGCCTTTGTCAAACCTCCCTGTGCAAAGGGCCAGCTCAGGGCTTGGCAGGCTCCAGCTTCACGGTGCTGTCTGCTGGATTGGTCTGATTGGCCAAGAGGTGGCACCGCAGGAAGGATGAACAGAGGGAGGCTGGAGCATCATGTTGCAGGTAGTGTCTCGCCCACTCGCCCAGAAGGCTGACTTCCTGCACAGGAGGCGGGGCTTACCTGCAAGGCTGGGGAGCTGAATACTACAGGCTTCCCAAGGGAACCGATCTAGTGGCCAGCTAGTGGAGAATGCCCCTACCCCAGAGAACAACGTCACATGACCCCAGTGTCCTCAAGGTAGCCTCTGTTTTGACACATTTCCAAGGTGGGACAAAGACCTGGTCCCAGTTCAAGATGCAGGAAAGTCAGCCTTGCATCTTGGTCCGACCACTCTGTTCATCCACCCCAAAGAACGATTCCAGACCTCCTCCCACTTGGCCTGAGCAAACAAAAGAGCAGCAAGGGGACTTACGTGGGAGCAGAACCTCTCAGGGGGGTCTCCGCACGTGATGCCGGAGGGCTCCACCTTCACCTTGACGTAGTCCTTCAGGCGCATCACCTTGGGCTGGCAGGCGTAGAACTCCCAGGTGGGGCCCTCATCCGTGGTCACCCAGGATTTGCAGATGTCGTAGTCCCCAGAGGCCAGCGGGAGGCAGTGCAGGAAGAGTGCCAGCAGGTGCAGCATGGCTGCGCAGTCCGCAGGGGCGCGGCCCAGCGACGCCCTGGAGAGGCAGCGATGGGATCAGGCGGGACTCTCGGGCTCAGCATGGAAATGCCACATCGACCAGGCGAGGGTGGCCAGGGTGTCCCAGGGCCCCGAGCACTGAAGCTTTGCAAACAGCGAGGAACTTGTTGTTTCCCAAAGGCCAAGATGGAAAATTCAGAGCCAGCGTTTCTCAGAGTCCTGATGGGCAGATCAGAAAGTTGCCCATAACTTCACATCCTCCTAACCTTGGCATCACACCTCCCCCGGAGGTGAAGCTGATCAAATCAGGCAGACTCTCAAATTGTGACAGTGGATGGAAATGGGATGAGGAGAAAATCCGCAGGGATCCTGCATGAGGCCGGATCAGATTGCTTTTAATTTTTGTCCTTCCAATCAATCCAGGTCTTTAAAGGGCTCTTAGTGGGTGAGGTGCTCAACACAACTGCAGAACAACCTTCCAGCCTGTGTTGTAGAGATAAAATAAAATCAGGAGGCGGACACGTTAGCTGGAAACATGTTCCCTCTTTGGGACTGGACTTGGCTTCTCAGACCAATACAAGAGATTTCTTTCATATGGGCTTAAGGTGGCAACAACTGTGTGACTAGACTAGAATAAAAATCTACTGAGGTGTTAACTGGGGAGAAGGCTATTTGGCTCTGCTTTGGTGGGGGCCGGCACTAATGGGGCCCAGCTGACCTTGGCTGGTAGCCATCGGCAACTTATTATGAAGTTTCTGAGATCTCAGCTCTCAATCCATCCAGGTACCTGGGGTCTGGCTTGTCTTTCATTGTAAGAGGAAAGGAGAGAGAGAGAGAGAGAGAGAGAGAGAGAGAGAGAGAGAGAGAGAGAGAGAGCTCATTAGCAACAACACCTGCAACAAATTAAAGACGGGGAGAATAGAGATCTATAAGAACAAAAGCTCTCCGGCAAAATGTGCAAAAGATGAGGCCGCATTAGCGAGGTCTCTCGAGAAAACTGGGTTATTTTTATTAATATCGGAGTTGCACATTTGGAGATCAGGCATGCTATTTAAAAGGTGATGCATTTTTCTCTCATTGATGGGAGTGTTAGTTCAGCAGAAGTGCTCCTGCTTGGGGGTCAGAGACTTTCTAAAGCATCCCCAGGAGCCAAGATTTAATGATTGCTTTAAAATATCGTGACTGACAGGTCAGAATGCCAAAGTTGTTAGAGGCAGAGATGAGACTGTAAGTGTAGGTGCAGCTGAGCCCGTACCTATATGTACAGATGGACAGAGTGATCCTCATGCTGGCCAACCATGAAGAGCCAGGCATGGAGAAATCACTCTCCAATCATAGGCACAATCTGAAATGGCTAATTTAATTTTTTTAACTGTAATAAACTAGGGATATTGAAGACTGACGAAGAGGTGACAATGTTTTGTGAGATCCGATTTTTCTGATCGAAGCCAGCATTTTGCAATCATTCTTAGAAGGTACGTCTATAAATGGGTCGCTATGATGATTATTGCTATTTTAAGCTTCTGGTTACTATCATTATTTAAAATCAAAATAGATATAACTAATATATCATATCAAAATAGATATCAGTAACATGAATGTTACATTGGGAAATAACAGGACTCCAGTACTGTGTTATGTTCCAGACACTGAATCTGTCACCCGGAGAACCCAAGTCCAGCCAGCATGGGATTCTGGCCAAAAATACCGGCCAACAGGGCAAAGGTTACTGCAATAAGTTACAGCAGAAGCCCCAGCATGATTAATGATTCTGGTTATTATGCCTCCGATGATTGCATTTGACCTCCCAAACCGTCCTGCATGTCCGACCTGGCCCGGCTCTCCCCTGACATCCTCTTCAGCACCTGTGCATGCAAGACCCCTGAAGAGTTAACTGCGTTTCCGTGAAACTCCATTCTCCACCCAGACACAAAAACGCTCCTGCCAAAAATGACAAACCGAAGTGGCGGACACTTGCTGCCCTGAGCACCTCAGGCTTGGAGCAGCCCCCAGCCAGGGCCCCAGGGCTCCATGCACGGGACTCATCCATCTGCGTTAGGGCCACCCCTGCCCCTCCCTCTGGATGAAAGGCTCCTGATGGAGATGAATGAGAACCCAGCCAGGACCATTTTCCCTGTCTCACCTCTGGCTGGTTAAAGAGGAACCTGTTGTAGAGCCTGCCCGGCCTTGAAGGCGCTCCTTGCTACAAAACTATCAGAAAGAACGTGCCCGGTGTCTATTTTTGCAACCTGAGAAAATGTAGTAAAAATAAAATAGCGCGGCCGGCAAAGGTTTGGATGCCTCTACCCGAGCTCGAGCTGCCCAGAGCACAGCACGTTCCTAATGAATCCTTCCAGCAGTCGACTCCCAGCTGTTCACTAACAGGTAGGGCGCTCCTGGCTGCTGGGACAACCAGGACGCCGGGCTGCGGCTTGCAAGGAGGACACAGCTGCCGCCTTCCTTCAGCTGCAGGACCTGCGGCTGCTCGGGGCTTGCAAGGCGCTGGACGCCGCTAGGCGCGGGGAGGCACCGAGGCCCGGAGGCCGGGAGGCTGGGGAGAGCGGCGCGCGGAGCGCAACTCGCAAATCTATTAATTGCAGTTCTGTTGGCTTAAATGCCACGCATTCCCTGGAAAATTTAAAAAAAAAAAAAAAAAAAAAACACCAACAACAAAATCTGCCAGGGGAAAAATGTGTTTACAACTAGTCAATCAATTGGGCGTTGCTGGCATCGCAGGGGGAATTATGAGCTCAGTGCACGAATATTACAGGCGAGTTCTGCCAAAAAGAAAAAAGAGAAGGGGGGAGAGACGCAGGACTCCCCGGGATAACGAGGAGGAGCGCAGAGAGTGGGGAGAGCGCAGGGAAAATTTCAGAGTAAGAGGTTGCATCCCGGTGGATCGTTTTCTCCGTGGAAAATTTATCTTCACCTGATATTATTAAGAAACTGCAGCTCCCAGAAACAAATAGAATCAATGCGCTTTATTTTCTTTTAAGAGTCCTCAGAAACCGAGAGGGGCTGATAGCCAGGGTATTAAAACTCGAAAATTAGATTTTATCAGGATTTCTGAACTCAGATCTCTCTGTCTTATTGAATTAGCGCCTCCCGAGCTGGCTGGGCTCGCCAGCAGGTTCCTCTCGGAGTTGCCGGCTGCGCCCTCGCCGTGTGGGAAACTTGCCGGGCGCAGGGCCCCTGGGGGCACCGGAGGGAGGGCGCTGGGGGCTTCTGGGGCCTGGGGTTAGGGGGAACCCAGCCCACCTCAAGGTTCCCTCTCTGTCCTCTGCAGGGGGGCGGAGGGGGTGAAATCTGCCTTCGGGGGAGGGTGGGGGATGCGGGGAGGGAAAGGGAGCTTGCTCCGAGAGGTCACCTTCCCGTCCTCTGCCCCAAGCGGGGTCCAGTGGGCGCCCCGCGCTCACCGCAGCCTCGGCGGGCGTCCGAGTTCCAGCGGCCCGGGTTTCCCCCTGCTCCGGAGCGGGTCCTTTCCCCGGGCCCTGAGTCCCCGCCCTCGGGAGCCCCAGAAAGTTGGGCGCGGGAGGCGGGGCGCGAGCAGTAGGCCCCGGGGTGGGTCCCGGCGGGCGGAGGGTGGGGTCGAGGCCGGGGCCGGGATCTAGTCTGCGCTTCGAGCCGGCTGCGAGCGCTGTGCCCGGCACACCGACGACCCGGCAACCCCGCGGCCGCTTTTTGTCTTCCCAAAGTTGCGTGCAAGCCACGGGAGCAATTAATCATTAAGCCCGTAATAAAGGCCGGGCCGGAACGGAGGTGCCCACTTTTTCGGCACCGCCTCCCTTAATTAAAAGACCCGGAGCAGAGCGCCCAGAAACTGGCTGGATCGTCTGCCCCGGCGCAGCCGCCGCCGCCCCCCGCCCAGCCGCCCAACTTACTCTGGAGCGGGCGGACCCCGCGAGCCCGTGGTCCTCTCCTCCCGCCTTCCCTTCGCCTCTACTCCCCCAACCTGCGCGCCGCTCAGTTCCAGGTTCGACTCTACCCCGGCCTTGAGCAGGTGCCTGCGCCCCCTCACCTCCGACCGCCTCCCGGCGCCGGGAGAACTTTCCAGCCGAGGCCGGGCTGGCCAGGAGTTTCTCTGTGCAACTCACAGCCTCCCAGTTTGCAGAGAGATGGGAGAGCACAGGATGGGGGTGGCTCTCCGCGGTGGCGGTGGGATTGGGGTGGGGGAGAGGCGCGGGAGCAGGGTTAGTTTCCTTTTCCTAAACACATCTGAGCATCCTTGTGACAACCCTCCCCGCCACACACACATACACACACACACACACACACACACGCGCGCGCGCGCGCGCGCGCGCGCGACGGAAAGGACCCGGGGGAAGCCGGCCAGAAAGACAAGCTACCCCTTTAAGATGCTGCTACGAACGCACCCTCACACACCCCTCTAGGGCGACTCCAGGCTCGTAGCAGCCGCCACCAAACAACTTTTTCATCCGAGCCTCTGCCGGGCGGCTGTAAGTGGCTCCTGGGCCCGGGCAAGCCTGCATGGTCGCCGAAGCCCTTTAAAAATGAAACCAGCCGGGCCAAGCTGAAGCCTCTCCCCCGCGCCCGGCCCGCCTCCCGGGCTCTCCCTGCCCGCCTTACCCCGGCTCGGAGCGGCTTCCCGGCGCGGAGACCCGGGAGGGCCGAGGACCGCCACCCTCCGGCGCTGCTCCTCCCGCCTCGGGCTGGCGCTGGGTGGGGGCCCGGGCCGAGAGCTGCGAGCCGCAGCTCCTTCCCCGCGCCGCTCCCGCCGCTGTGGCCGCCGCCGCCGTCAGATCGGGGCCGGGGAGCCCTCCGGCCGCCGGGGGGGCCGCCCGCTGCCGTCCCGGAGACGCGGGCCGGGGGAGGGGGCCGCTCGAGCCGCCCGCATCGCCCGCCCGGGCCGAGCGGGAGGTCGCCGCTAACAAGTGCAAACTTTTTGGCCCCCCTGGGCGGCCCGGGGAGGACCCGCGCTCGGGCGCCTAGCAGCCCCCGGCCCGGGTGGGCTTCGCGGCGGCTCGTCGGGGAGCCGGGGCATCCCCCCGGCGCGGCGCGGGCCAGATGGCGGGCGCTTCACCGCCCCCCTGCACTCCGCTCCAAGTTAATGCCGAGGCTAAATCCTCTTGCCATCACTCACGATCACCATCGGGGCTTTTATCTCTCGGTCTGATCCGGGCTGCGTAACTTCCTCTGTGTGGCTTTAACACACCATCCCACCACGGAGCAACGGTCTTCTTAAAGGTGCAGGAAGGAAATACTGCGCGGCTCGGGGGACGTGCCACGGCCCGGGGAGGGGCGCGGCGAGCAGGGGCGTCCCGGCGGGCCCGCGGCCAGGATGGCCCCGGCAGCCTCGGGGGGGTCGCTGCCTAAACATCGCCTCCCGGCCCGGGGGCCAGCGGGTCCCTCCGCCTGGAGAGCATCCTCAGCCGGCTCCGGTCAGGCGCAGCCGGGCTGCAGCTTCCTTTTCCAAAACCCGGGGGCCTGCCGGGGTGCCAGCGCCCATGGGTGTGGGGGCTGCCCCATCGGCACGAGGGAGGGGGTCAAGTGGAGTCAGTTTCCCCACCCCCCACAGCCAAGGGCTCAGGGCTGCTCCTCGGTCTCTCCCCGTGAAGTGCTGCCACCCAGAAGGCCCCAAGCAGTGGGTACCGGGGTGGGTGGGTGGATTTGGGGAGATGGGGAGGGGGAGCCATCTAAGCGCACAACCAGAGCCTGAATACCAGCTGACACATCGCCGCCTCCACCCTGATGGGCCCTGCTTTTGACGAAGCCAAGCCAGCTCTGCAGAGAGTGCAGAGTAGGGGGGCAGGAGGGGCCTGCCTGAGGGGTTCTCTGCCTCCCTCCCAGGCAAGCATGGGAGGAAGGTGTGGGAGGGCTCCTGTAGCCACAGCCCCGGGCAGGGCAGAGGCTGCTTAGTTAGCAACATGGCATCGGGCAGCCCTGGGCTGTCCGACCCACGGGAGCTTTCCTGTCAGGCTGCTTCCCAGGGCTTTGGGGAGAGTTTCCACATCTTCCAGGAGCACATGTGGTTTTCGGACACTCCTGGCCTCCTGGGGTGGGCTCCCTGCAGTCTTTAGCAGCCAGCACTGTCATTTGGATGCATCAAGAACAAAGGGCCTGAGGACAGAGACAGAGGCAGAGAGAGACCAGCCCAAGGTCACAGAGGGTGTTGGGAATGGAGCAAGACAAGGCACCTCAGTGCCCCGCCCTGCTGCCACCCTTCACCTTCACCTTAACCCTTACCTGTCCTCAGCTGCGCTGAAAACTGGAGAGGGAGTTAGACTGCTGAATAATATTTAGAATCTCTGACTAAATAGGCAGAGGATGCAGAATTAAAGACTGTCATCTGCTGTAACAGCAATAATAATAATATATTTATTGAGCACCTTTTTTATGCCAGACTCCATGCAAATCAGTCTGTGTGCGTTATTCACTGAATCTTCGCCAAAGCCCTGTGACTTAAGGGCCAGTAGCGAAGCCCCAAGTTCGAGATGTTAAATAACTTGCCCAAGGTCACATAGCTAAGGAGAACTCTGGCCAGGGAGGCAGGGCTCGTGGGTTCCCAGGGGGCGCTCTGTCACTGGCCTGGCTGGCTGGTTAACTTGGAACGAGGCCCAGATTGCTTTGGGGCTCAGTTTCCCCGTGTATGAGATATGAATGGTAAATCCTCCTTTTTTTCAAAAAGGGGTAAAAGCAGGGCCATGGTGTGCCTCTATCTGCATATGCTCTCAGATCCCTCCCACTGGAGATGGGCCCATCCCACCAAGCAGCCTAGGAATGCAGATGCAGGCAAGCTCCCGGTTACCTGCTCTCTGCAGGAGGAAGCTCCTCAGGAGATGAGAACAGATCTCAGTGGTTTGATTTCTTAAGCATTCAGCCTGCAGGCAGCAGTGAAGGGCAGGGCGTGGGGCTTCCACACAGGGTGAGTGATGACCAGGGTCATCCCTCAGCCTGCTGTCACCCTGGGGGCAGGGTCATCAATCCCTGGGAACCGCCCTGCTCCTCCATCATCACTGCGGACTGGATGCTGTCAGGAGTGGCCAAAGAGACATGGAGAAGCTGCTTCTTATTTGTAGTTCATCTGAACATGGTGGAGGGATGGGGTACCTCCTCCCTAGCATGGCCAGGATGGTTTCAGTGACCCAAATGCAAAGATATTTGCCATTAGAAATATATATATATATTTGAGACGGAATCTTGCTCTGTCACCCAGGCTGGAGTGCAATGGCATGGCCTCAGCTCACTGGAACCTCCACCTCCCAGGTTCAAGTGATTCTCCTGCCTCAGCCTCCCGAGTAGCTGGGATTACAGACACCCGCCACCATGCCAGGCTAATTTGTGTATTTTTAGTAGAGACAGGGTTTCCCCATGTTGGCCTGGCTGGTCTCGAACTCCTGACCTCCTGATCTGCCTGCCTCGGCCTCCCAAAGTGTTGGGATAACAGGAATGAGCCACCATGCCCAGCCTAGAAACAATTTTTAATATGCCTCCCCGCCAGCCCCCACCTCCCCAATACTCGCTGCCTTTGCAACAAGCTGACGCCAACAGGCTTTTTTTTAAGGGACCTATGCCAGAAGCTGTCTTCTGGTCTCCTCATTTCCAGACCCCAGGATAATGGAAAGCACTGCACTGAGAGTCAGGATAATGGGCTTTTCTTGGCTCTGCTGTAACCACACTGCGTGGTTGGGGAAGATCCCTTCCCTGCTCTTGGCTTCCGCTTTCCCATCTGCACCATGCGGGGATTTGCCCAGGACAGTGGTCCCTCTGCTATGATCCTGAGTTAACCACACTCCACAGCAGCCTCCAGGAGACGATGTTCCTTTTAAGTGAACCATAAAGCACTTATTTTCCAAGATAGGGACAAATAGGATTTCAGCCATGTGGGGACCAGGTGGTTGAGGGACGTTCATTTTTAAACTTCATTAAGGTACCTTCTGACAAATGACCTTTTTCCAGCAATGAAAAGAAGCTGAGCACCAGGGGCAGGAAAGTGTTAATGAATCTCCCCGAAAATAACCGCTGGCTCCCCTCTCACCAGCAGCCTAATCATCCTCTTCACTGGTGGGATTTTGGCTCCAATGCACAGTTTTAATTTGAATTGTGTATGTGAAATCTGCTATCGAAAAGCATCTGTAGAACAATGCATTTAATTTTATGGCATCTATATTTTTTAAAAAGGATTTGTGTATAACCATACATATATATGATTATACACATATGATTGTATATGAGTCCACTACATATATAGACAAGTCCATTCTGTATGTGGACAATGAAGCTGTACACCGAAGTATGAACAGGGGAGATGAGGGGGACCGACGGGCTTTATTATAAATATCCTTCTGGTTGCTTGACTCCTTTACAATGAGAAAATATGCATGGTATAGATGCGTAACAGGAAATTATAAAGTCACAAGCAAAAATAATCTACCAGCTTTGTAATGAGAGGTAACAGATGAGGTCCAGGCCCTCTGGGGACTTCCAAGAGACGGCAAGTCCTGATGCAGACAGACAGACAGAAAAAATGAGCTCACATTGCTGATTTAAGTCAAGTGCAAGCTCAAAGGACACCCCCCACCAAGTTCTCATCCCTCTCCTCGCTCACTCTGTTCACTTAAGCCAGGCCAAGATTTTGATTCTTTGAGAAACTCTTTGTCCCCTTGACCTTGAGCAGTTGAGATGCAGCTTTTAAGGAGGTGGTAAGATCCTGTGTCCATGACCATCTAGGGGTTTTCAAGACACCCTGGGGGTCCTTCTGCTGCCAAGGTAGGGGCAGGAGGAACCCAGGGCCTTCCCCAAGGTGACACCTCCAGGCAATGGCAGAGGTTGCTAGAAGCACTCTGACCCCTCCCTGTCAGTCCTCAGCTCTAATCTCTAGACCATACTCCCATTAATTATGATTACTGTATTAATCATACATGTGATTAATTCAGTAATGGTGATTCATAATTGATTGCATTTTATATGGTGCCTTTCATCCACACATCTCCCAAGATGTGCACTGCCTACAACAGGAGACACATAATGTGGAACGTGTCCTTTGCTTGCCTGCGTTTTGTTGGATAAACTTCTCTTTGGAGAGGCAGGGGGCTAATGGCCTTTGAGCACACTGAGCTTGCCAGTCCCAGTTCCATGCCCATCTCCCTGAGTACTGCAGCTCAGTGGCACCTGGCCTTGCCCAGTGGCGGCCATACTGCGGGAATCGTGCGGACCTCACCCCCTTGGCAGGCAAGTCTGCCTGGGCCCCAGGCTCCTGGGCAAGGCCAGCCTGCCCTGGCTGGGAGGCAGTGCCACCAAGTGGCTTGGATGCGGGCTCTAGAGCCTCACTCTCTGGGTAGGAGTCGTGCCTTGCCTGCTAATTAGCCGTGCGACCTTGAGTAAGCTACTTCCCTCTCTGCCTCACTTTACCCAAATGAAAAATGGGAAGACAATAGTCTCCATCTTGCTAGGATTAAGGTAAAGATCAAATGCAATGATGGACAGAAAGCAAGTAGAACCTGGCACATAGTAGGTGCTCAATAAATGCAAGCAGCAATGTGGAACCTTAGGCCTGGTTCCAGCAGCAGCAGCAGCAGCAGCTCTGTGACTCGACTGGTCTCTTCCTTTCTTTGGATCTCAATTTTCTCAGCTGTGAAATAGCATGATCACTGGACCTTGCTGGTCCTTCCAGATCTTAAATGAGCGCTTAATACAGTCACAGTTGAAATTCCGGGCTTCAGTGTCAAGCAGCCCTGGGTGCTCACCATCTCCCAGCTATGAGACTCACCTTGCCAAGCCTCAGTTGCTTCATCTGGAAAATGGAGGTTAGAATGGTCTCTAGTACCTAGGTTGGTCTAAGGATTTAGTGAACTAATGCTTGAAACCAATTTGGCTTCTAGAAAGTGCTTAACACAAGGTGGCTCTGGTATTACACACTCAGGCACAAAGCACAGCAGTTTGCTGATGATCTCCAACTTCTACCTTACTGCCACTCTGTGAAAGAGACTCTTCTTCTGGCCATTCTGCAGAAGAGAATACCGAGGCGAAGGGATGTGTCCTGGGTTATTCAGGAAGCACAGGGCTCCTCTTTGAATCCAGGCCTCATGGGTGGGCTTGCTGATGTGTGGGCTCTGTTCTGTTGATCTTTCCAAGAACTGGTATTGCAGTCTCCATTGGCTAGCAAAAGATACGGGGACTGGCTGGGCGAGGTGGCTCCTGCCTGTAATCCCAGCACTTTGGGAGACCGACGCAGGCAGATGGCTTGAGGTCAGGAGCTTGAGACAAGCCTGGCCAACATGGTGAAACCCTGTCTCTACTAAAAATACAAAACTTAGCCAGGCATGGTGGTGTGCACCTGTAATCCCAGCTACTCAGGAGGCTGAGGCAGGAGAATCGCTTGAACCTGGGAGGTGGAGGTTGCAGTGAGCTGAGACTGAATTGCACCACTGTACTCCAGCCCAGGTGACACAGCAAGGCTCTGTCTCAACCAAAAAAAAAAAAAAAAAAAAAAAAGACTCAGGGATTGAGAGTGGCTTGGTGGCTTCTCCTGGGTCATGAGCCCTGGGCAGGCGAGAACAGCCCCTGTGGACTGGGTGGAAATACCACTGAGCAACCTTGCCTTTGCCTGCAAAGTTT